TAAAACACTGTAAATCATGCTGACTTCTGCAGTAGGCTGGCTCAGAGTGAGGAGGTTTGATCGGCCGGGGGGGGGGGCTTTACTTCGCTGTAACACGAGATTTCATCCAGTCCAGACTGGCGGGTAGCCTGCAGGGAACCCGAAAGGAGGAAATGGTTAGAAGGGTTGTTTTTCTGTCATACGGTGGATATGACTCATTCAAAAACGAGGTGTGTGCTCACCCCTCTCCGGTGAGGGCGCAGCAGGCTTGAACATGCCACGAGTGCGTTGTTATGGAGTCCAGCGTGAGGATCTGAGAGATCTCCGCTGCTGTCATGGAGCCTTTTATGTCTTGTTTATTAGCCAGAACAAGAACGGCAGCATTCTGCAAATCCTGCGTCAAAACGAGAGAAGAGAGGGCAAATTCACAGGGTGGAAAAAAATAAATAAAAGAACAGCAAACGGCACCCTCAGCAGAAGGTTTGAAAGACGCTGACTCAGCCTATGAGGAAGCTTCCTCGTCACGCCGTGTCACGGGTAGGGGATCTGGTTTTTAGATTTGTGGCCCAATGCGTCATGAGCCGAGAGCGCGAGCACGTTTCAGACACGAAAAGGAAAATACAAGGGCGTCTTCACGGAACAACAAATAGGTTTTGACATCACGGCAGAATTCACACGACAGTGTTGAAACGCCTTAAGGTGAACTGACCGAACAAGCTGTCCTAAACCTTCTACACCCCGTCACAACAGAGCTGTACGTGGTTAAAGCCTCACTGGCAGCATGTAAACACCGAAGCATGTGCTGGATAAAGGCAGACACTGTGGGGGGGGGGGTGGTGGTTGGTACCTCATGTGCAAGCATGCGGTGCAGCTCCTCTTTGGTGAGGGTCAGCCTTTCCCGGTCGGTGCTGTCCACCACCAGGATGACAATCTGAAAAGGGCAAGAAAATATCACACGTTACATAAAACGTCCTCCCAGAGTCTGCAGAGATTAGATTGGACCAAAAGGCCTCTGCCCATAATAGTGGTTGGCCAAGTCTGTGTAATGCTCTTGGATTTGATAACAACACAAGAACTGACAATTACTGACAATTACAAGAGTGACGAACCTTCGTACTGTGGTTAAAAAAAAAAGAAAAGAAGATCTGCAACACGTTTGTTGGTGATTTTCGAGCTGTAAAGTGTGGGTCAGACGCACCTCCGTGTTGCAGTAGTAGGAGTACCAGCTGGCCCTGAGATTGTCCTGCCCCCCGATATCCCAGACCATGAAGTGGGTGTTGCGCACGGTGATCTCCTCCACGTTGCTCCCGATGGTGGGCGACGTGTGGACGGCCTCCTTTGTCAGACTGTGAGTTTAAATGCAGAGGAAACACAATCAGACCTGAGTGAAACTACGAGGCCAGGCGGAAAAACTTCAGCCACAGAAAGTACTAAAAAAGACTTACAACTGGTAGAGGATGGTGGTCTTCCCGGCATTGTCCAAACCCACTATGATGACTTTGTGCTCTGCAGAAAAGTTGGAACACGTTGTTCTTAGGTTTAGAAAAACTGGAAGGGTTACATAATTTGAGTCACTTCAGACAGGAGCAGATAGTGGTCAGCCTGATAAGATAACAACGGGCTCATGGATGTGTTGTCCTGGACAGAATGTAACGTCCAAACACAGCTGGAATGCAGGCAGCACATTTCACTCCAGTACACCTCAACATGTGTGCCTGTAAATTCCACATCTGGACAAAACCAAAGTCTCTCACTCAGCTACTTAAAATCCACAGAGGGGATTTTCAGACCTTTTATATGCTCAGAATAAACAGAATCGCGAACAGAGGCTCAAATCACAACAAATACTGACATAAAAACGTGAGACAGGGGAATTTAGTTTGACCCTACCTGCGTCCCCGAACACAGCCATCATCTTGGTCAGAAGGAACCCCATGAGCGACTAGTGTGTGTGTGTAAGTGGGAGAGATGAGAGAAGAATGCAAAAACAATCCACAGGTTGCACGCGAATGAGTGTATGTCACCTGCCAAATGGCTGACTACATGTATTTACCATCTCGTGTCAGTTTCTCCGTGTTTTTCTGGTGTTTGAGGGAGGCGCTTAAACCGGGGAAAGTATTCGGAATTTCTTTGGAGATGCCTTCCCTTGCTGTGGGAAATAGTAGAGTTTCAGCAGGGAAGTGGTTTTCAAGTGACTGCACTGACCTCCAATGTGGATTGAGTTCTAGAATGTTTTTTAAATTATACTTTCCAGGTACCATTCCAGAGGCAGATAGGAATTTTCTTCGTAAAAGATTTATGATGAATCAAGATATCGGTGTGTAACAGAGCTTTTGCTGAGAGGAATTCAAGGTTGTGCAGTCAGCTGTGCTTTTTAAACAATTCCTTAAAACATACTTTTGTTTGAGTAATATTTGATTTGATTTTGATTAATGATTTTACATTGCATTGATTTTTGCTTCATTGTTAATCTGTTTTTAATATGTTTTGTTGGCTTGCTGGTTCCTTAATTGATTTGAGTTTTACAGTTTTACTTAAATCATTGATCCATCCATTTTCTGTACCACTTATTCCAGGTGTTGTTCGGGGGGGGGGGGGGGGGGGG